CATGGGTGATCCTGACATAAAGCAAGTAAAACAATTGCTTCAGGCTCAATATTTATGGGGGCCTCATTTTTTGTTATACCTAATAGACTATGTATAAGTTTAAAAAAGAGTTATGTAAAGTAAAAAAATTTAATTTCCTTCTTTAACAAATATAGAGAAAAAGGATTTGCAACTGCTATGATTTCTACCAAGGAACTTGCACTTGAAATGAATATCGAACCCGAATTTCGTAAGAAACGTGTGATATATAAGAAGTAACAATTTGATGCGAATGTTGATAATGAAATCTCAAAATCTTTCGAAGAGTCCTTTAAAGTTGATTAACTTTTATACATAATAGACATGACAATTTTTTCACTTCAAAATAGATTTGAATAATTCGAAGCATATGAAAATATTTTTGGTTTCGATTTGGCAGTAAAAGCTAAGATCACTAAGGAAAATTTAAAAAAATATTGCCTTAATCTTGAATGTTCCTTAAAGTATAATAATCAATTCGATATTGATGGTTTAGATTTATTTTCTCAATTAAAAGTATTAAGAAAAATAGTACAATTAGAAGATAGCAGTTTAATTGATACATTTAATCAAATAAAAAGATTCATTTCTTTTCCAAATGCCTAAATTGCTTATGGAATAATGTTAGTAACTCATGTTACCGTTGCTTCAGCGGAAAGAAGTTTTCAAAATTAAAATTGATAAAATCTTACCAAGAACAACAATGTCACAAGGAAGGTTAAATGGATTAGCTATATTGTCAATTGAGAAATACTTATTAGGAGTAATTGATTATAAGAAAATTATTAATAACTTTGTATCAAAAAAAAAAATAGACTTCAAATAAATAATAATAATAAAAATTTTAAAAAGTTAAGGCCCCTCATAAATTTTGGCTTTAGGCCACAAAATTCGTCTGGCCGCCCCTGATTGGCTTATAAAAAGTAGTTTTTAAGCTAAAAGTCAAAAGTCATAAGTTGGTAATACCCAACTTTTGGCTTTTGGTTTATTTTTGTACTTTATATTCCTAAAAGTAAGTGCTTTTAAGCACTTTTTATCTTTGTCAAATACCACACAAACTAAAAAAGTGCTTAAAAGCTAATAAGCACTTAAACACCCTCTAAGTCAAATTCACAATATCCACTTTTCATGATCGTTTAATTATCGGGATTACAACAACAACAATAATAAACTCAATACAATCTTATTCGGTGGGGTTTGGGCACAGTAATGTGTACACTAACCTTACCCCTACCTTATTAAGGAAGAGAGACTATTTCTGATATACCTCGGCTCAAAAACCGTGAAAAAAATACAATGAACAAACAGTAAGAATGGCAAGAAAATAAGATAACAGAAACAAATAGTACAGCCTGTAATACTAAAAGAACTAGGAACCTATCGGCAATAATGCCACGTCGTCTAACAACAAGGAACTCTGAAGTAAGAGAATACAAGACTAGTAACACTATTACTAGTACGACTAGAAGAGAATCTCTGTAGCACCCCCTTTGGGAGGGTGCTACTTACAATATAAAACTAACTTACTACTTACAATATTCAGAAGATATTAATCTAAAAAGACATTCATAATAATTTACTAACGGAAATAGGCTCATGCGATGAAGGTTTCAAGGTGCAATATTTTTGTTTTTGAAAATACACTACGTAAAATTTCTTAAATAAAATACAATGTCAAAATATCAAGATAAGGTGATACAACCCTTCTAAAATAATCAACACGTTAAAGCAACTTCCTAACAAAATTATACTTTTTGTTCAACATCACTGCATATTCATATTGTACATGAATTTCAAACTAGCGAGTATAAAAGGAAAATTAGTCTTCTCCTTTGTACATTTTTACAAGACAAAGCGTAAATTCAACATATTAGAAGATTTGAGTTATTAACACACCCTAAAACAGCAAAACAAGTTACCAAATTCAAGTTACAATATTTTGGTCTTAAGATCCAACAAGCCTCCAAAATAACATACATAAGTGTGACATATAGATCATGTACAACTCCCAAAACTACACAAAACCTAGGTGCATATACAAATGTGATCTCCACAAAATCTCCTGAAAAGTTTACTCTAGAAGACCTTCTTCAAATCACTTCTCACACATTACTTGCGATAGAAAACAACTATCACTAAGCATAACGCTTGGTGGTTTACAAATATTAGGTACTTAAGGATATCTCACAAGGATGATAGTATATCTCACATTGGATAAGGATGAACAAAAGGTGGCTGCTCAAACTTTGTCTTCTTTGGATAAATACAAAAGGGTGACAGCCCAAAACCTTGTGAAAATAACACGGGCTAGCCAGTTTTCGGACTGGTAATTAAAAAATAGCCAGCATTTGTAAAGTCATTAAAAAATATCCACTATTTTGCTGTAACACGGAAAGTTCCAGCATGATATGTTGAAAATTGGTGCACCTGTGTATGAACTTCCAGCATATTATGCTGGAACTCCAACACACGGAAAGTTCTAGCATAATATACCGGAGAATGGAGCACCTATGTATGAACTTCCAGCATATTATACTGGACCAGTATGTTATACTAGAACTCCAGTATATTATGCTGGAAGTCCAGTATATTATGCTGGAATATCTTCTGGATTTTGAACAATGTTTTCGTTCAAATTTATCTTTACATGAAAAGTAGCTAAATTTCAATTGCTATTTTTCAATTACCACTTGTAAATCTGGCTTTTTTGAATTTCTCCCCAAAACCTTAAATATCTAATATTTTTCATATTAATTCATCAAAATGATATTAAATGTTACACTTAGCAACACTACGGAACTTCTTTGTCAATATTAACACAACCTAAAGTAAGCAATTTTCCTATATCGTCAAATTACGTTTAGGAAATGCGAAGTAAAATCTATCCTCATTGTAAAAGATGGTCATTTGAGAATGCAAATATTAGTCTAAAAACGTTGGGGTGTCACACTCGAGACTACCTGTCAACCCACAACCCTAATCCTCGACCTCCACACCTCTCTATCGAGGGTCATGTCCTCGGTAAGCTGAAGTAGTGCTATATCCTGCCTAATCACGTCTCCCTAGTGCTTCCTAGGCCTCCCTCTACCTCTGCTCTGCCCCACTATGGTCAACCTCTCGCATGTCTTCACTGGGGCATCGGTGTCTCTCCTCTTCACATGCCCGAACCATCTCAGCTTCGATTCCCGCAACTTGTCTTCCATAGAAGCCACGCCCACCTCGTCCCTAATAACTACATTCCTAATCTGGTCTTTCCTGGTATGCCCACACATCTATCTCAACATCCTCATCTCTACTATTTTCATCTTTTGGACATGAGGTTTCTTGACTGGCCAGCATTCGGCTCCATACATTATACTCGGCCTTACTACAGCTTTGTAGAACTTGCCCTTAAGTCTTGGTGACACAATCCTATCACATAAAATACGAGACGCAAGCCTCTATTTCATCTACGTAACATCCCGTCAATCTCCTTGTTCCTATGAATAACAACAGATCCAAGATATTTGAAACTATCTCTCTTGGGGATGACTTGTGCATCAAGCTTCACTCCACTCCTGTTTCCTGCGTCCCTACACTGAACTTGCACTCCAAGTATTAAGTTTTTGTTCTACTCAACTTGAAACCTTTAGACTCCAGGGTCTGCCTCCACAACTACAGTCGATAGTTAACCCCGCAACGCGTCTCATCGATTAGCACTAGTCATCTGCAAATAACATACACCATAGCACCTCCCCCGAAATGTGGCGCGTCAGCACGTCCATCGCCAGGGCATATAAAAATGGACTAAGAGATGAACCCTAATGTAATCCCATCATCACAGGAGAATAGTCCGAGTATCCTCCCATAGTCCTCACCCGAGTCTTCGCTCCATCGTACATATCCTTAATCACCCTAATGTACGCTACCGGAACACTACTAACCTCCAGACTTTTTCTAAATCGATGAACACCATATGCGGGCCCCTCTTCCTCTCCCAGTATTGCTCCACCGACCTCCTCATAAGATGAATGACTTATGTGGTCGAACGCCCCGGCTTGAAACCAAACTGATCCTCAACCCTTGTAGTTGTTACAATTTTAGACCATTTGATTATCGGGATGTGAATATTAATTTAGAGATAAATTTAAAATTATATTTACCTCATATTTAATTATGAGTATCAACTAATATTGGTATAAGTTTTATACGAAAAATGTTTAATTATCCAATATTGAGCATGAAATAATAATTACAAAATTATAATGTTGACATTATTAATCTCAAGATATCCCAAATCGGAACCAAACGACCTTTCAAGATATTGGCAACCACCTCAGATAATCAAGAGTTGTTACTCATCTAGACTCTTAAGAAAAAGGACTCTAATCCCCGTCTTAAACTCTGAAACAACCACTGCATATTAAAATCCTACTGAATTACTCTCTTCTTCCTTTCTCTTTGCTGTAAATACGTTATTTAGACAATTTTAGTTTTTAAATTGAATTGCTTAAATGATCTTAAGTTTTTCAACTATTGGTTATTTTATAAAACATTATTTTTTGTAGGAGTTTGATGTTTTGACATTAAAAGTATGATGTATAGGGAATAAATAAATTCTAATTTAATTTAACTTTTAAAAAGCAGCTCGGTGCTCAAAGAATCCCGCGTTCACGCATGGTTTGGGGAAGGACCGCATTCCGATGAGGTGTGATGTATGCAGCCTACCCCGATGCAAGCATCAACGACTGATTTCACGGTTCGAACCCGTAATTTATAAATCACACGGAGACAACCTAACCATTAATTTTACTCTTAATTTTCCTCAAAATAATTAAAAGAAAGAGAGCGTGTGAGTAATCTTTTTTCCTTTCAATGTCTATTATATCCCACTCAAATGTCCCACACACTTGCATAATATAAGGTAATGTAATGATTGCACGAATATAAGACCAACCCATCATTGCCTTTTATAACAATGGTTTAAAATCTTTGCCACCTTCTTCCTTATAATTTCCAAAAATAAACCAACAAATAAAACCATTTCTAAATGCTAATTATCCTAATAATAAGCCTCCTTTTAATCTTTATATTCTCTCTCATCAAACACTTTTACTCTTTACTTTTAAAAACCCTAACCACTATCTCTCTCTCTCCAAGAAGTTCCAACATAGTGGAAGCCTAAAGTGAAGCAGTAGTGCAAATTGCACACAAATAATCACAAAACATGGATACATATGAAGCAACAAAGACAGTTTTGTCAAGAATCCAAAGTTTGGATCCAGAAAATGCTTCAAAAATCATGGGTTATATACTAATACAAGACCAAGGAGATAAGGAGATGATAAGGCTAGCATTTGGTCCAGAAACTTTGTTAATCTCTCTCATTAACCAAGTAAAAAATCGTTTAGGACTTTCATCGAACAGTTCATCTGCAGCATCAACACCTTCATCGCCTTCGCCGTTTATTCCCGTTCCAAACCCCATTAAATTCAACCCATTTCCCCATTCATCACCAAGAATCATTATATCAAACAATGGGTTTCAATCTTTGCCTTCATCTCCTTGGTCTGGTGGGTCCCCAGTGTTTTCAAGAAGTCCAAGACCAGTGTCATATGCTACTGTAGTGAATGGTCCAAACTCAAATACTGCTTCTGGCTCTTCAGATTCTTCTTTATCACTACCTTTTTTCGAGCCAACTGATGAATATTGCAATATTCAATTTCAAGATCAGTTGTCATTTTTAAATGAGTCGTTTCTTGAGGAAAACAGTAATCAAAATGATGTTTTTCTTGGTGGGTCCCATGATGATAATAATGGGGGTTTTGGTGGTTGGAAGCCTTGCATGTATTATGCAAAAGGATTTTGCAAGAATGGAAATAGTTGTAAGTTTCTGCATGGTGGATTTGGCGAGGAAAATACTCATAGCAATGTTGATTATTTTGATGAGATTTTGCGTGTGAATGCTTTACAGCAACGGCAAAGATTTATGGCTTCTGGTCATCATCATCATCATCCATTTGGTTACAACAGGTGCATGAAAGATATTTTGATTGGCATTGGGTCTGATTTTTTGCTTGTGTTGTTTTTTTTTGGTTGAGAAAATTGTTAGATTTTGGTGTTTTCTTGAATCTTGATTTTTGGGTCTTGCATTATTATAATGTCTTTCTTTTATCATATGTATAGTACTCTTATAACAACCAATAATCTTTAATAACCGTAGTGTCCGGACCGGCGTGCGCGCTTCTGGACTACTCACCAAATTTGGAACAGATGTAAAAAATGTTGGAGTTTAAACTCGAGAGACCAATTTTCCCATTTTTTTAAAGATTTTGAATGTATCTAATGGATAGTTAAACTATTCAATATCAATACTTAGATTGAGATAATGAAAAAGTATTTCACTTTTTCAGTTGGAATTTTAGAGGGTTAAAAAGAAGGGTATTTTATTTTTGTGCTAGTTGATGGGCATTAGGGCTGATATTTGCTTGGGCTAGTAGTTTCTTGAGAAAAGTTGTTGACTGTGGTGTTTTCTTGAATTTGGGCTTCTGGTTCTTGCATTTTCCAATTTCTTGCAAATTTCATGCATAGTATAAAAACCTATATTTCCTTCCAAGTAATTTTCCTTACATTGGACCCATTTCCCAGTTTCAGGAGGTTCAGTACTTTGACTGAGATAATGAAAAATAAATATCACCTTGGAACTTTAGATTGTTCTTTTGGGGCGAGTTGGTGGCATTTAACTGTGTTTTGGTGTATCTTGGTTGTATTTGAAGGAAAGTTATTGACTTTAGTGTGTTGGTTTGGGTCTTGCATTGTTTCAATTATTTATTTGTTAACTGATTTTAGCATAGTATACCGACTCATTTTTTGTTTGTTAAAGATGGTATATCTGTCTAAAGATAGGCATGAGGTTTTGAGTTATGTTCTTGTTATGCTCTGAATTGCAGATCGGCTGCAGCAGCATTGATGACAAGTGATGAGTTCTACAAATATGGTCGGTCCCTACCTGACAGAAATGAATTCTCAGCAATGGAGCTAGGTGGAATTTGGAATTCTAGCTCGAGACAGATTTACTTGACATTTCCTGCCGATAGCACATTTAAGGAGGAGGATGTGTCTAATTACTTTAGGTTTGTTATTCTTGCTTTTATTCGATCAATGAGATCTTCAAATTAGAATGAAATACTCCCTCCGGTCCAAAATAAGTGATTTTTTGGCCTTTTTCTTGTGGTCCAAAATAAGTGATTTTTTCCAGATTTCAAGAATGAATTAATTATTTTTTTCCTACATTGTCCTTAGGAGTAAATAGTGTTGGAATATGTGTTAGGAGTGTTTATGTGAGATAGTAAAGGTTAACACGGTCAATTCCATTGCTAATTAATGTTAAAAGGTGAATTTCTTAATCTGTGTAAAAACATCCAAAAAATCACTTATTTTGGACCGGAGGGAGTATTAATGTCAGATGGTCCTTGATTTGTTTTGTAGTATGTACGGCCCGGTGCAAGACGTTAGAATTCCATATCAGCAGAAGCGAATGTTTGGATTTGTTACATTCGTCTATCCAGAAACCGTGAAGATTATCTTGGCCAAAGGGAACCCTCATTTTGTGTGTGATTCTCGCGTGCTTGTTAAACCATACAAAGAAAAGGGAAAATTCCCAGACAAGTATGGAAACACAATCATTGTCTTCTGTTATGATGATTTGTGATTCATACTTTTGTGCATGACTAATGTTCCGATTCTCAATCGAATTGAAGGAAGCAATTTCAGCAACAGCAGCAGCCTATTGATAGAGGAGAGCTCGAGTCGGGGGAGCTTTATGATATTCCCTTTGGTAAGAAAATGAGCTAGATTACTTTTTCTTCTTCAGTTGTACGACGGAGACGGTTAAAAGTGTCTTTTTGTACAGGAGCAAGGATGTTTCATAACTCGCACGAGATGATGTTGAGAAGAAAAATAGAGCATGATGCTGAGTTGCAGCAAGCAATTGAGCTTCAAGGCAGAAGGTTAATGAATTTGCAACTGATGAAGAACCAACATCACAATAATCACTTCCAACCCAGCCTCTCTCCGGGTGTTTTTTGTTCGTTTAATCGCATCAACCAAGAAGTCTTAGCAGGTTAACACTTAGAACACTTTGTTTTTTTTCTTCATTTTTTTATATCAAGTGTTGGCTGATTCTTTTTTCCTGCAGAAAACAAAGGTTTCCAGGAACCCACCGAGCCCCCATCTGATGCAGCCGATGAGAATGTACCTCAGGAGCTGCTACATACAAATAATGGAAATGGAGGTTCCAATAAGGAGCAGACCTCGAATACCGATGATTCTTATCCTCGAGAAAGGTATTAAACATCAATTTCGTTGCTGAAATTTCAAGGTTCATCAACATGAAGTTCTCAGTTGTGGTGCTATATTTAAGCCTTTTCATATAGTTTCCACATTCAAAGCTGATGGTGTTGCTTCTTTGCAATGTAGTGTGTATCGGTGCAATTCTATGGTTATTCTCTTGGATATTCTTTCTAATGTTTGTGAGATTTCTTTGTCATTGAAACAGCTTGGAGCACATCCTTCCTGATAACCTATTTGCTTCTCCCACTAAATCGGTTGCGGAACAACATGTCGCGTTTTCCATTGATTCAGCTGAAGCTGACGTTAGTTCCGCGATGACAACGCCAGCAACAACAACAATAACTACTAACAGCGTCCCTATGCCTCCCGCCACTTCTGCTCTTCAACATTACGTCTCTTAAATGATGTTGCTTCTTGACGCCAAGGTAGTACTTAACAGTGTGAGTGTTTTCTCTCTTTGGTTTTAAGAGAGGATACTTAATTTGATTATTGACCAGGTTTACTTTGAGAAGCCACTGAAACTTAGGTTTTAGAGTTCAGCATGACTATGGAGGAGGGATTAACTTGACTTGGTAAGAGAACCTGCTCTGTTTGCCTCATCTCTAAAATTACTTGTAAATTAGATTCCCTTGTCATATATCACCTAAAAGGGCTGCCCGGTGCACTAGCTCCTGCTATGCGCGGGGTCCGGGGAAGGGCCGGAACACAACGGTCTATTATATGCAGTCTTACCTGCATTTTTGCAAGAGGCTGTTTCCACGGCTTGAACGCGTGACCTCCTGGTCACATGGCCGCAACTCTACTAGTTGCGTCAAGACTTCCCTTAATATCATCTACTTATATGTAATATACTTTTCATTTTGTGTTTGCTTATGCAGACAGGTTGGTAGCATCATAAAATACTAGTTGAAGTCCTCTAGCTGTATAGCCAAACACAACAGAAGAAAAATGATCTGTAAGGAAGATCTCCTCAAGATTACTGCCATCATCAAATACCATACTACTTACAACAAATACATATAATGCATAGGTAAAGGACAGATGAATTGATTCATGGGAGTGGGGTCTCTCTGTTTATTTTGTGTACCCTCTTTTGTAGTTGTGTGCTGTGGACCGCACAGAAACAATACCAAAACAAAGGCTAGTAGAGTAGTAGTAACCCTTAGTAGTTTTTTCCTCTTCCCTCTTAATTATAGCTTGCTATCATGTAAAATTTAGTGTAGGATAATGAATATCCTTAGATTGCCATGTTTTTGCCAAATGAATGTATAGATTCCTGAACCTGTTGCAGCTACTTGATTGAATGAGAAATCCAAAAGGAAAATGAAAGGTAAGACCATTAAAGATCAACCCCTTTTCATCTTCCATCATTCTTTGTTTTGGGTGGGGGGGTGGGTGGGGGTGAAAAAGGGGCACTCAAAGGTGTGGTATCGTGATCATTGACATGGATTGAGAATCATGAGGTTTTAAAGGCAAACGTCTTTCTATGGTGGATAGAGTTATTCGATACATGTGTTGGTAGGAGGTAGGAGGTAGTAGGTGCCGCGTGAAATTAATCGAGGTGTGCTCAAGACTTTAGTGGATCGATTCTATTACATAAGTTAATTCCTAATTTTTATCTCACATCATGAGATAAGTATTTCTTCCATCATGACAATAAGTACGTAGTTATTATTCTATCGACCCAAAACCTTGCTAATTGATATTTACTGTCCTTCCTCTATCTCTATCAATTAAAGCCTCATATTCGTAGAAAAAAGTTGCTAGGTATTTTTATCTTTCCTATTTTGACTTTTATGAAGCTTCTTTCTTTGGTACAGCCGATAAAAATCATATGTAGGAAGCCTATTTGGTTCTAGTAATAGACACAAAACTATCCATTCTGGCTCGTGAAATTAATTGAGGTGAGCGCAAGTAAGGTGCTTCGTATAGTTAATCGAGGTACGCGCAAGCTGGTCTAGATATCATAATTATCAAAAGAGAATACTTTATAGAATTAATCGAAATGCGTGCAAATTGATCTTAAGATTACGGTTATCATTATGATTATCAAAAAGGAAAAATAAAGAGGGAGAAAGGGCAAAGGGTGAGGTAAAATTGAATTATGATCTTTTATGCATTGAAAGGCAACTTTAGGGGACTATTTTGTCTCATTTTATGGTTTCCTTTATGTGGACATGAATGGTGAAGGGTCATACTATATCACATGGCTACTGACACCATTTGAATGGTATTTTAGGGTACTCACCGCTCCTTTCACTTTCAGTTCCCCGTAGGCCGTAGCATTATTCATACTCAGATGTGTTTGGCCTTTTGTTTTATGGGTATTGGTGTACCTTCTGTTTTGTCATTCTTTCCATAAATTTACTGTACACATGTGCTCCAAACTTGCTCCTTCCCCAACAACTATTCACTAAGGGACGACACTTCGGGTGTGCTTCCATGTAGCTGAAGGTCCAACCATGCACCTGGACGCGCAAAAAGGGCAGGGGCACTGCCACAAGTGCGCTGCTGCGAACGGGAACAGCTGGGCGCGCACCTGAGCACGCAGCCTGGGCATTGTACAGTAAACACGCACAACCTTTTGCACATAGATCCGTTTGGGCTCCATAATATATCATTGTAAAGATGTTTCAAGGGGATACAACTNGTATAATAACAGTATAATTACAAGTTTACTGTTTGGTTGCACAAGTATAATTATAAAATTACATTAAATTTTAAATGAAATAATTATCAAAATTTAAAAGTTAATATAATAACTATAGACCTAAAAATAATTTATAATATATATCTCAAATTAATAATATTTAGTTTAGATACTTACAATAAGATCATGGAATTCATGTTTGATAAAATAAATTACTAATATTTATAAATATAATGTCATAACGTTATTCAAATGTTTGACAAAAATAATCTATCAATTCTAACTAAAAAAATGAACAACATGCAATGTGAGGCAATACTACTAAAACAAGTAAATTGGAACCATGAATATAACACTATTTTAAAATTTAAAAAAAAAAATAGTTTAACATATGTCAAATTCCAACATAATAATACTAAGTTCTACTACAACTTAAGATTAAGAAACATAATAAGTTTATAACCACATTCAACAACGAAATTTTACTTTAATTACATTACTCATTATATGTCAAGTTTGTTAATGACTCATTATTTCTAATATTAGGAGGTGTAATTTCAAAAAATAAAATAATAAAATAAATAAATAATAAAATATAAGCAATTACATGGAATCACAAGAAGTAAAGGTAGAGAAATAAAAGAAAAATAACGTAAAAAAAGTATTTTAAAATTTCAAAAAGAAACTAAAAGATTAAAATGATAGAAATAAAGAGTCATAAAAAAAATAAATTAAAATAAAAAAAAAAAAAAAAGAAATGCCAAACTGTGTAATTACATCCAAATTCATTTTCAAGGTGGCTTTCCAAATATGTTCTAAATGTGTACTTTTTTAAATAAAGGATGGTGTTTGGAGTCAATTTGTGCACTCTTCCCCCTATTCCATCAAGTACCTGCTATCTCTTACCAATATAGCTACCAAGCATGCATGAAGAAATCAACTCACCTTTTTGTTTATACTTGTAATCACTGTTTTAAAAGACGTTTTCGGGGCGAGCTCCGAGGTGGGCCCTTGGGCGAGGCGCACCAAAAATGCCTCGAGGCGATGGTGCGGGTGAAAGTCTCAAGATGCATACGCCCAGCAATTCGGGGCGTACGCTCGGGTGTTCGGGGCGTACGCCCGGGCGTTCGAGGCGCGTTTGTAATGAGGCATAAGCCCCAGAGATTTTTTCAAATTAAGACAAAACTTGTTGAATAAGTCCTTTATATAATACCCAAATTCTCAAATGTCAGCTTGTAATTACTCAAAAGTTTCAAAAAGAAACTGAAATGTATTAAATTTAAAAGTCAAGACCTTTTTTATTAATTGAAGCCCTAATTTATGGTCTTTTCCAATTCTTTATCTTGTCTGTTGGCCCAAGAATAGGTGAAGTTTTTAATATTGACAAAAGAACTCAGTCATGGACCAAGTCCATCTTGTGAAGCACAGTCATGATCAATCTATACATGTGAGATGCACGTGAAGGAGATAAGGACTACTGATCAAGCGGCAACATCTCCTGATCTGATCGAAAAGGTTGCATATTAGTTAAGGGGAGAAAGTCTCCTTATATGAAGAGAACACAATCCAGGATGAAGATAGTGTTAGAGTTTGAGAACATCATGAACTCTTCTACGATAGAAGAGAAGCAATTGGTCCTAATCAAACTCTGATCACTAACCTATTAAATGACAGTTATTGTTCTCTTTTACAGGTAATTGCACATACGCAGAAGTTAAACTAAATTCAGAGCAAAAGAGCAAAGCGATTTTGCAAGCAATTTATTTGTGATTTAAGTGTGCACTCCTGAAGCTACTTGAACGAGATAGAAGAACCAGTTACATTGTGTTTATCTTTTATTCTAGTTCAATTGTAGTAGGTGATTTAAAATTGTACCTTTCAGCTTTCATAGAAGCAATTGTATTAGGTACCTAGAGTGTTCAAGTTATAGCTAACTTGAAGTTGTCGCAACAGTTGAGGCTGTGTGCTACAAAGGGATTAGAGTTAATCCTTAGGTTTACAAGAGTTTTGTAAATGCTGTTTTGGCTCAGTGATTTTAGTGAAAGTTTGGGAAAATCCTACTGAGTAGTAGGTCGTAGTTTTTTCACCTTTTGAGCCAGGTGTTTTCCACGTAAAAATCTCTGTGTTCTTTATTTTCAGTATCTGTTATTCCGCAAACAGTAGTAGTTGGAACACCTAGAAGAACCAGGTTCTTCTATAGAGTAGTTAAGCGAAAATTGGGTACCACACACATCACCCCCCCTTTTGTGTGGTATTGACGCTTAAAACATCAATTGGTATCAGAGCGGGTTATCCTTGAAGAGGTTAACACCTTAGGAAAAGATCAAGATGAGTGCACCACCTGGGAACTGGGAAGGGCAATCCACTGCTAGGCCTCCACTCTTTAATGGTCAGTACTATTCTTGGTGGAAGAACAGGATGCGAGATCACATCATAGGAGAAGACTATGAACTCTGGGACATAGTCACTGATGGTCCTCTAGCTACTACAATGAAGAATGCTGAAGGAATGGATGTGCCAAAGACAAGAGCTAACTGCACTGCTGAAGATTTGAAGAAATGAGAGAAGAATGCCAAGGCCAAGAAATAGCTTGTGTGTGGACTGGGTCCAGACGAGTACACCAGGATTCAAAGTTGTACTACTGCAAAGGAAATATGGGACACTTTACAGGTGGCTCATGAAGGAACTCCTCAAGTAAAGAGATCAAGAGGAACACTACTTTATTCTCAATATGAGAATTTTAGTATGAAGGAAGGAGAATCTATCCAGGAGATGTACACAAGGTTCACAACACTAGCAAATGAACTTAAATCTCTTGGGAGAATTATCCTTGAAGAAGATAAGGTTGAAAAAATCTTGACAAGAGTCTTACCTGTGACTTGGGAAAGCAAAATCACTGCTATTCAGGAATCAAAGAACATTGCTACTCTCAAGCTGGATGAACTGATTGGAAACCTCACTGCCTATGAACTGAGAAAGGCAAACCATGAAAATGGATTACACCGAAGGAAAGAAGTCTGGCTCCCTCAGATAGCTGAAGGTCAGATTTGGAGGATGATGAAATGGCCATGATCACCAAGAGATTTCCAAAAAGTACCTGATGAGAGGAAAAGGGTTCTTCAAGAGGTACAACCTTCAACAAACCAAGGGTTCCTGAGAAACAGACCAACGAGGGTTGCTACAAATGTGGTAAGACTGATCACATGATCAAGAACTATCATTAACTGGGAAATTGAGTGGAAGAAGGAAGGGCTGAAACGAAGGAACAGGAAGAAGGAACAGGTCCAACCCAAAAGGAACAAAGGTCACAAAAGGCTATGGTTGCTGCTTGGGGAGAAACATCAGATGAGGACCTCAGAAGATGAAGCTGGAGATGAACAGCACTTATGGCTATTCGAGAATCAAGATGAATAAACAAGAGATAAGTGTCCTTCATCTCAAAGACAAGATTAAATTCCTGTCTAAAGAAAAGGTTGTCTGAATTATTGCTAGAGTTATTGATGAGTCTGAGATAATTAACAATGAAGAAGGAAGATCTGTCTAGGGAATGTGTGATCCTAAAGCCAAGTGCAAAAATCTAGAATCTAGGGCTAATGAGAGTGATAGTAAAATGTTGAGTTGAAGAACCAGGTTCTTGAACTTGACACTAGTGTCCCTAGAACTTAGGTCTGAGAACTTAAAACTGAAACTAGGAACAGGT